CTGCTCCCGCGCCGCCGCCGCGCCGAGGAAGCTGCCCAACCGCTGCAATCGGAGCGCACGGCAGACAGGCTCTAAGCTGCAGACACCCAAGAGCCAGGCAAAACTGCTGGGGCATCATTAAGAACCAGAAAGAGCCAATAAGTCCTTTGTGCCTGGATGCCTCAGCTCCGTGTTGCAGGAGGCTATAAATAATTCCAGGCTGCGAAGCCTCGTGCTGTAGAGAAAAACAGAATGAGTCACACCTGGAGATCTGCTCTGCTCTTTCGATGCCATTCTGGCAGCAGCGAGCAGACACACGCGGGCCGGGGCCAAGCACTCGCATGGCTTCTGTCCAGGGCCCTGGAGAAGGAGGCGGCAGCCCTTGTGCTCTCCAAAGCAGCCGAAGGAGAACCCCAGCTCCCTTCCTTCTCGCTTCTGTGCATCTGTCTGTGGATGCTGCAATCTCATTCAGGGCTGACAGCGCCGTGCGAGTCTTCTCAGAGCATCTTCTCCAAGAGCGAGTTGTCCTCGTTGGGTCATTTTCTCGCCAGCGTCCAAAGCAGGATGCTGCCCTTCGGCGCCTGGTCAAACCGGCTGCCCGCGGCGCTCGCTCCCGGCCCGGCGCACACGTGCTCCGGAGTGGCGGAGGCAGCAGGCCGAGGAGGCTTGGAAGGGCCACAGCCTCCGTGCTCTTACCTGGAGGCTGCAGCTCCTGGCACTGGTGCAGGAGAGCAGCTTTAGCGCCCTGGGCATCTACTAAACTGCAAGCACTGGGCCTGTGCAAGAGCTAGGAGCAAAATCTCTACCCTTGGGGAGGGTCAAAACTCATGTGAAAGTGGCCCTGAATCATCCAATCTGCCCTTGAAGCTGGCCCTACCTAGCAGGGGACTGGACCAGACACCTCCAACGGTCACTTCCAGCTCCAGTTATTCTGTGACTACAAGTCACTGCAGCCTTTAACAGCCGCTGTCCTTGGCAGCTCCAGTTGCAAGGCTGAGCCGTGGGAAGACGATGGGGTTTTCCACCTTCAGAAAGTTTGGGGTTTCGCCCTTTAAGGAAGATTGCTCAGCCTAGGACCCCGCTTCCAAAACACATTCCCATCTCAAGCCCTGGGTGCAACAGCACCAAGCAGACGCCCCAGCGCAGCGGAGGCTGCCTGTGCTCCCCGCTCTCCTCTGCTTGCAGGATGGCAAGGCCGGGCAAAAGGGCAGTTCGAAAGGTTCCAGCCGAGGCAGCTTGAGCATCGGCTCCAGCACCAGGCCGAGCTCTGCTCCGCAGCACCGCGTCCACCTGCACGTTGTCACAGACGCCGACGCAGCGGCCGCCAGCCTCCCTTTGCAAGGGCTCGTGGCAGTCTGGGCACCCCTGGTTGCTCAAGAACCTGCTTTACCCAGGGCATTAATGTGTCAAAGACAAGCACCTATTTTCCAGTTTAAACAGATGACTGAAACTTCAGAGAAAGGCCAAAACAAGAGAAACAATCTGATTTTGTCACCTTGGTTACAAACTCTCCCCAATGATAGGGAAAGCAGCTTAACAGAACAGAGAGATTCTGTTCTCATCTGTCAGAGGAGATATGGGCAGCCGACGTGCTGGGCTATTAGCACAGCCCCGTGGGTTGCTCCAGCCCCCAGGAAACCTCCTCCGAGGCTTTGGCAGCCACTCGGCACGTTACTGCACTGCAGTGTCAGCTCGGCTGCTTGGAGGGAGCCAGCAGGACCTTCTCCCCCATGAACTCCGCACACGGGGGCAATCGGAGCCGTGTCTCAAACCCATCATGTGTTCCAGCCAGGGCAGCCCGAGGCACCTGAAACAAGGCTGCTCCTGCTGCCCTCCAGGTTCCTTTAAGATAAGAATCCTCCCGCTGTCCTTAGGACCTCTGCTCGCTCCTTGCGGAAAGTCCACCAGAAAGGTTATTTAAGAAAAATGTTTTGCCAACATTTTGATGGGTTAATTCCAAAATACTTCCATGTTTACAAAATTGCCACTAACCAGTAGAATAAAATAAATAAAAAAGAACAGGTCTGGCATAGCTGGCAGAAAACAGGCCCTAAACCAACATGGCATCTGAGCAGATCCTCCTCAAACCCAGCTGTACATGGTATCAAGCAGTTAGTCTTGCTTTTCCTGCATTCACCCAACCTGGAGACTCCTTTCCATAAATTCCTATTCCATAACAGCAAATACCTATCTAGAGTTAACAAATCTCTGCTGCACTAACTCTCAAGGGGATTAAAGAGAGATCATTTTCAGTGATGCTAAAGTGATTGCATACACTGCCAATGTCCTTCCCTCCTCCAGCATGAATCAGTTCTAAGGACAGAGCAAAGGCCTCGGCACTGGCTTGCTGCCAGCACAACCCTCTGTGCCAGCCTGAGCACCGAGGTGCAGGAAGGACGTGTCCCCCCCAGGGACAAGGCAGCAAGAGCCCAACACCACAGAGGGCTCCAGAGGGGCAAAGCCGACTTCAGCGTCCTGCCGCGCGGGCCTCACCGCAGAAGGAGATGATGTGGCTGCTGTCCTCGTGCACGAACTTCCTCGTCACAGCCTCCTCCATGATCTGCTTCACCTGGGGAAGAGAGGCCCGAGTGAGACCCCAAATGGCCCCCCTAAACCAGAGGGGCCTGTGGCAGAGCGGGTACACGATGCTCTGCTCGGGCGGCAAGAGGCAACCAGGGCCCACGTGCACAGGGCAGGGACACGCACGGAGCCACCGGCCCCGCGAGGTCCCTTGGGGACCGCGGCACCGTCACTGGCCAAGCGCCACAGGCCGTTTCAAAGAGCCAGGGAATAGCACGGGGAGAAGCAAATGTTCTGAGAAACTTCAGGAGACATTGGACAGAGTATTAGCTGCAGGAATCAAACATGATTTAGATACAAGGCACCTTAGGGCCCCTAAATCTTATTTAATGCTACTATAATGATTTTATTCTCCTTCATTTTGTGAGGATTTGATGAATTTCACATCACAGAGCCACCCCAAATGACTCAGACCTCTTGTTAATGTCCAAGTCACCACCACCTGCTCACCTAACGTGAGCAGCAGAGTTATTTGCATAGCAATGCACCCAGCTCTGCCCTCCTAGTGACTCAGGCTAGATTGCTGGAGACACATTCTTGGCACTCATTTCTGTTCCCTCCATCAAAAAGAAACTGTCATAGCAGGGGCACGGTAAGGGGAAGAAAATATGTGGGTTTCTTCCCACATAAAATAGGAGCGTGACGTTTGCAGGCACAAGAAGGGATGTGGGAAGGGGATGCCACCATCCCCGGGCAGACGGCTCCAGCAGCCACGGGATCTTAAGGGCATTGCATTTTAAATGCTGACCTGCCATCAGGCCCTGCTGCATCTTTCAGTGCTCTAAAACGCCCTGCTTTTCACGCTCTGGGTTCAGAAAATGCAGGGGAAATGCAGGAGCCGTGGGTGCAAGAGGGACTCTTACCAAGGTGCTCCTTGCACAGGGACACAGCAGAGAAAAACGGGAGGTCAAGACTTGCCTAAGCGAAGCCTGCCATGTAGGAGAGCCCTTTAACAGCATCATTTGGGGAATTAAACCCCTCTGGAAGCTATAACCAAGGCCAGTTATGCACAGCTTAATTAAAGAAACCCTTTTCCAAAAACGGATTAAGCAGAAGTCACACCTAATGCCCAAGTGCCCCTGCGGGTGTCAAAGCAAACAGGGCAGCTCTGCTCCAGCACGTGCAGCGACGCACGGAGGCTGCTCTGGCACCCAGGAGGGAGCAGGGCTCGCGCAGAGGCTTCACCCGCGTCCCCGGCAGCGCCGAGGGGCTGACGTGAGTCAGGAATTTGCAGCAGGGAACGTAACGGAGATGTGCAGCGAAGACGTTCTGGTCCGCTTGAGCTGGAGAGGGGCTGAGAACCGCGTCTGTGCGTGCAGGAGGGCCCAGGAGGATCAAGACTGGGATGCTGGGACAGTGACACGGCAGCAGCCATGGTCCTGCCAGGCCCCAGGAAACAGAGTCACGGCCACACGCTGCAGGCTCGATCTCCTGGCACTCCATAGCGGGGACAGGTGACCGAGACTGAACGCGGCTCCGCACGCTGGAGGTTCCCGTAGCCCCTGCGCGGCTCTGCCCGCGGCCCAGCGCCGGCACCGTCCTGGCCGCCGCACGGGCAAGCCGGGTCCGCACCCGAGCGCCAAGGCTGCCGCCGAGCGTCATGTGGGACTCCAGCAGAGCAGAGGGAACACTGTGAAACAGGAGCGGGGACAGCACAGGGGACACCAGCAGGGCAGGAGGCCCTGATTTGCTGCACTGTGCCCAGGCACCTCTTTGACCTTTGCTGCACCACAGAATTAGACACAGGAAGAAAAACACAGGGCAACCTCTCACCCACCAGGAACCAGTGCCCAAGCACTTGCTGCACCAGATTTCTTCCTTTTCTGCGGTCCGACAGAAGTTTCTAACAATGAAGCATCATTCCATTCTTTTGAGACATGAAACAAGCCAAGAATATCCCTGAACATCCCTCCCGCACTGCTTTTATCCTAGTTCCCCCACACTCCACTGCCTCCTCTCCCACCCAGGCCGCTGCTGCCCTCACCTTCTTGTACCGCTTCATTCATCAGCGGCCCTGGGCACCTCTCTCACATACTGAGCTGATCTATTAGAAAATGATTAACCCGCACAGATATAAAACACGCTTTCTTGGCAAGGCTGGTCTCTTCCCAGCCCCAGGAGCCTGTTTCTGCTTCCGTATTCCCGCGTGCAGCTCAGAGGACACCGCTGATCATGGGGACACGCTGCTAACCATGCAAGGCGGTTCCTAAAACCTCTCCAAGAAAGAAAAGAGAGGGGGGATTTGTCAACTCCAAATAGTTCTGTGCATGTGGAGTTTCTTCAAGAACGTTGTGACTAGGAACTATCACAGGGAACTGCAGCTTTTCTATGAATCACCCAAATGTGAAAATCAACAACCCATCTTTAAAAAAAAAAAAATATATATATATATATACACACACGTCCCGGCGCGGAGCCGCGCGCCCGCCGGCTGCCCCGGCTCCAGGACAGGGAGCACATGTTTATTCGGCGCCTCTAGAACAACCAGCACAACAGGAGTCTGCTCTGGTCAGGCACCTCGGTGCCAATGTAGGACAAATAACCTGCATTCACAAGGAAACCTTCCAAGAGATGCGGTTTAGTGGAAAATTACCCATTAAAAGAAAAAAAAGGAAAAAAAAGCACCCTATTGACTGAGGTTATCAAGCTAAACAGCATAAATCAAAGATATTTAAAGCTGCAGAAGTGGAAAGGGCATCGTACCAAGGGCACTCACCTGACAAACGAGGCGCTAGAAGAAAAGGAGAGCGGCTCAACAAGCAGCGGGGAGGTCAGAGCACTAGGGCCTGCCCAGACAGCTGCAGGTTCCTACCAGGGAACAAGGGTTACGCAGAAAAGGGTTTCCAGATGTTTGGGTGGCTGCAGCGGGTCCCCAAAGGAGGCTCCGTGTGCTGCGCTCTGCGTTTCACACCAGCTCTCACATTGCAGCCGGAGGAACCACAGCAACTCCCCTCAGAGGAAGCGGCCCGCGCTTCCGACAAGCTCAGAGGAAGATGAGATGTTTACTCTTTTATTAGAAAGGAAATTAAAACAGTGACTAATAATTCTAGCTGGAGGTGAACTCGAGAGGGGGTGTTGTAAACTCTTGGACAGTAATGCAGCACTTCCCGAGCCGTGAGCGCGGAGCTCGCCGCGCGCCCAGCACGGCGCCGCACAACCCGGCAGCCCCAGGCCCTGCTCCAAACCGCCGGCCAGGGTCGGCTTGGCCAGGCACAATTTTCGGAATCACTGACTCGCACTAAGATACAAGCTTCCTGCACAGACAAATCTGATTTTTAAGGAAATTTTCTTCCCTCCTTGCCCTAGCTCCAGGACAGTTTTTACCTTTTAAACAGGGCTATATGCAAACCTCACTATATAGTAATTTATACTAAATACAGCAAAGGCTGCTCTAGTGGCTTAGAGGGAAGCAGATGGTCCTTTTTCTTTGCCCTACACACGCAAGATCTCTCAGGAGAGCAGAACTAACAGCCCGTCAAATCTCCCGCGTTTTTAGGCCTCCCAGCCCTCACTTTTCCTCGAACGGGCAGAGCTATCGGCCGAGCAGCCGCGAGGATCCCGTCCTGCTCTCCTGTCACGCAGCTCGCGCTCCACCACGGGACACGGGCGCTGCTTCCACGCAGCCACGCTCACCTCCCGGCCCGGCACGCTCCCTCCAACAACCGTTCACAGGACTCGGGGTTCCAGATGCACGGGCAGAGCTGGCGCACCAAACGTACAGATGTTTTAGAGGATCCCAGCCCCAAGGAGCCAGAGCTCTCTGCTAAAAAATTCCCAGGGAGCTGCTGCACCTCCACGTTTGGTGTCGCCCATTCCCGAAACCCAGTTCCCAACCGATCCCAGGCCCAGCTGGCACTCGCCCGGGTGGAGTAAGCCCAATATTACAGCAGTTCCAGTAAGAGCCACGGGGCAGCCATCAGGAGCAAACCAGCAACGCGGCGTTTAATTACTCTAAGGCAATATTTACCCACAACTCTTTTCACCTGGCTGGATTTTTCCATCCAATTTGCTATCCAATCTGTCCTCTAGATTATAAAGTGATGATGTTTACACTCACAATTTCCTCTGCCATCCCTCTTGCAAAGCCTTTTACCAGTTATCAAGGCATTTGTATTGGAGCACAGTATCTCCCATATGTTTCGTCATGCTCATAACTCTGCTGAACTGTTTATGGCCAGCCAGATGCAAACGGAGCGGGAGCAGCCAGGCAGCCTCGGGCACGGGGACCCGCTGCAGCCTTGGGAGGCCGTGGCACTTGCACGGGGGCATCCCGCACGTCTCCAGACGGGACACGGGGCTGCATCTCCCTTTGCACGGCCTTGCTCTGCACATCTGCGCTGCGGTGCGAGCGGGGCAATTGGCACCGTGGCCGGTTGTGCTGCACAGAGCTGCTTGCTGGGGCCGGGGCGATGCATTTCTGTGTCCAGCCCTGCAGATCCAGGGAGAGGGAACCCCGGGAAGGCTTCCTGGGGGGGACATACCGGTGACTGAGCAGCAAAGCCGAAAGTCGGCGCTCGGATTCCTCAGTCCTGCAGCGCGGGGACAGCTCCAAGTCCCCCGGCCTCCCGCGCTGACTTGCACTTAACGCTCTCTGGCAGCTCCATATCGTTGCTGCCACAGAAACATTGATTGCAATCCTGCCGACTGAGACCTTTGGCTTTTCTAGAAGTCTTGTTAAATTATTTAGCAACACTTACTAAATAAAATATAACACGTCCTGCAGCTGGGGTATCACTCACATGTTACACAGGGGATTTTCAGGCCTGGCAGCAAAGCTTACACAGGAGCCACATGTACTCAAAGCTGGGAGCGCAGGTGCTTTTATGGAGGATGGGGAGGAGATGTTACTGGGTATAATATCTTTCTGATTTATAAATTCTGAATATTTGGAGTCAGCAACACAACATTGTACTCTGGGGAGAAGAAAACAGGAACCAATTGTATCTGCAGACAGAATTTTGCACCAGACTGCCTGCAAGCGACCCCCTTCAGAGGGCATCGACTCTTGGCCCAGAAATCCATACACAGAGTATCAATTTAGGATTCCTGCATACACTGGAGCAGGTTCTATTCATTTGTCAAATGCAAATTTCCCTGCGCTTCTGCTGGCACTCCTGGGGCAGTTATCCGTAGGATGTTCAAGGCATACACAACAATATTTCAGGAAAAACTTCAGTCCTGCTTCTGTTTCACAAGTCCCACATGAAAACCTCATCCTGTCTCGTTCTGCACCCATCAAACCAGAAGCTTCTGTCTTCTGACATGCTAAACATTACATTGGCAAGTACTTTGGATTTAATTACCAACATGACAAAGACTGGCATTATTTGCACTGCAACCAAGTGCAACTTCCAAGCCTGCCTTGCTCTGGAGTAATGACTCTGAAAAGGTTGGTATTTCTGGAATTTCTATGGCAACAGCCACGATGCCACAATGACAACAGGATGATATTTTGGCAGCCTACAAGAGAGGCAGGTAGGTAGGAAGAAGTCTGCTCTGCAAGACACGTCTCATCCCCATGAGCACGAGGAGGGAACATGAAACCTGTGCAGGGTATGAAAGACCTTGTGAGGGCTGGCCAGAGCATGAGAGCCCCTCCGCATACGTGTGCTTTTATCTTCAGAAGGAGAGAAAATGCCCCTGGTGGTTAGAAATACTCCTTTAGGCAGAGATCAATGCAGACAGTCCAGAAATGCTATATTAAAGCCTTCCGTTTACCTTTGATATAGGAATATTTTTAAAAGGCTGATTGGGTGCTTGAGAGACATCAGAAGGTCCCCTGCAAACAGCAACTTCCATTGCAGACCAAGAGCGTATCAGCCTCATCTTCATTTTGTCTGAGCAGTTTTGACAGCTACATAAAGGCCTTTTTTAAATTTGGCCTTGAAAACATTTACAGCCATCAACATTCATTTTTCAGGACATCCGAATAACGTTAAATTAATTTACAATTTTCTACCCATCCAAATGAGCTAGCTGGCAGGGGCACTTGCAGGCTGGTATTTTATAGCTCTAGACATACATCCCCGCTCCAAAATCGCAGCGCCGGGCTGCCAAACAGCGCTATTACAAGGCACGCTGGATTTATTAGCCATGAAGCAAACTATCCAGCTGGGGAGCTGGGCCACGTCGGGAAGGTGCAGAAGGACCTGGCTGTTGCCCCCGTGATCTAGGGGAGAAGCAGCGAAGAGCTGAGCAGGGCCATTAAAAAAGGAGCCATTAAAACAGGAGCAGTGAATCTGATACAGACAGACCGTGGGAAGGCAGGGAGGGAACAGGCTCTGGTCAATCAACAGCTGCTTTCTATGAACATATCAAACACAAGCACATCAAATATTTATTTTTTAAAAAATCTTAAAGCTATTAGCTGAGCAGTAAGTTAAACAAAAACTAAGTTTTAACAGAGAAATGAACAACACAACTATAACTTTCACGTTTCATTTGATCATTTGCAGCACTACAACTTTCCAGACAGCTAATTTTGCAGACGCAGTGTAGTACAGCCTACAGTTTAACAGCAGCACCAGCTTTTCCACCCATTCTGTATGCAGTGCAATTACCTAGAAGTGATCAAAAACACATCACAAGCTTCTCCTCTATTA